ACCTCTTATCGAGATCTTCAGTTCTGGGCTTCCTGTTGACCGGCTCCTTCTCCGAAGCACGACGCTCCTGTTCGTCGCCTGTTCCAAGCAGGGGCGTAGGTGCGAGAAGGGACGAGTCAGTCTCTGTGGTGGGCTTGTGCGTTCAGTAATCACTGGACGAACCTCGAGGGGCTGGTCGTTTTACTCGCTGCGTTTGTTGCTGTTGTTGTTGCTGCTGTCGCCGTTGTCCGTGCTGTTCCACAAGCTGCTGATAGCTATCTAGCACGCTCAGTTGGCCGGTGAAGGTGGCCAGCTCGTAAATATCTACATCCCCGTCGTTATTTCTGCATGTGGTAGAGGTATTCGTAAGTGACAGTCAGCTTCATGATGCCATGTCAGCGTCGTCAAGAGCGTACCGGTCCAATCGCTGTCGCAGCAGTTCAATATTAGAGTCTCGTTGTGCTTCAAACTCGTGTTCGAAAGCTGCCCGGAACTGGTCCCATGTTACCTTGAAAGTCTGATAGGGGGCAGGGTGAGACGTGATGGAGAAAGAGAAAGCCACAAGACGGCGAAGCAAAGAAGCGAACCTTCGGTCCAAAGTGGTGCGCCCAAAAGCGCTTGGTTTCCTCGTTCTTCACTAGTCGCATTGCATTGAACTCTTGGTCCGCACCGGCTCCACCCTGCATCCGGAAACCAAGGCCCAAACGCGTTACAGCAACGCAAGACACAGGATAGCGCACGAGCGTGCGGAGTGGAGGAGGAGGAGGAGGAGGAGGAGGAAAAGCTTAGGGCGGTACCTTGTTCTTGTTCTGTTGACTGGTGGTGATGGCAAGCGAAAGGATCGGGCAGAGTGTCTTGAGCTTCTCCTGGTGGCTCTTGAGCTCTGACAGATCGGTGCTTGATCGAAACCTGCCCGCCCAGATAGGAGAAAGAGAGAGGACTAAGAAGATGCAAAACAACAGCATGAAACAACGGGCCGTGTAAGAAGGTGGTGCGAGAGTGAACCATGACATAACTCGCTGCGAGATGGTCGTGGCCGTGGCCACCTTCTCCAAGGCAGTCTTGGCATTGACCATGCTGGTACGCGAGACAGAGCAGGGCGAAATGAGAAGGGGCAAGCACGCAGAAGTCTAA